CAGAGCGGGCTTGCAATCTGGGTGTCCTCCTGGATGCACAGCTGTCTTTAGAAGAGCATATGACGGCCGTGGCCAGGGGGACTTTCTATCAGGTTTGCCTGATTCACCAGTTGCGTCCCTTTCTGGACCGGGACACCTTGCGCACAGTCACTCACGCCCTTGTTACCTCCCGGCTGGACTACTGTAATGCTCTCTACATGGAGCTCCCCTTAAAGAGCACTCAGAGGCTCCAACTGGTCCAGAATGTGGCCACGCGGGTAATTATGGGTGCAACTCGTTGCGCCCATGTAACACCTCTCCTGCGCGAACTGCACTGGCTCCCAGTGATCTTCCGGGTGCGATTCAAGGTGTTGGTTACCACCTTTAAAGCGCTCCATGGCTCAGGACCTGGGTACTTACGAGACCGCCTTCTGCCACCGATAGCCTCCCACCGACCAGTTCGCTCCCACAGAGAGGGACTCCTCAGGGTGCTGTCGGCCAAATTATGTCGGCTGGCAACACCCAGGAGGAGAGCCTTCTCTGTGGGAGCCCCTGCCCTTTGGAATGAACTGCTAATTTAGCTACTTTTGGCCTTAAATGTAATATTTTTAAGAATTTTTTAAATTTAAATTGTGATATTTGTATTGTGTTTTACCTGGCTGTACACTGCCCTGAGTCCCTTGGGAGAGGGGCAGTATAGAAATAAAATTATCCTTATCCTTATCCTTATCCTTACACACCAAGGAATCTTGTCAGACTGCAGGCTTTTGTGTTGGTTGTTAACTAAGCTAGCTATAGTGTTATAACTTCACACACTACTTCTGCTTTTCACTGTAATGGGTATACCTTGGTGTGTTTTCACCCACCAGAAGAAGCAAATGTCATCGCAGTGGGTTTGGAAAAACATCTCAGAACTAAGAATTTAATTCCTATTTCAGCATTAGCATTACATCTTCAATCTTTCTTCATAGCAAGAGGCTCCAAGTATGTCATTTACTTGAGACTGTCAGTAGACTAGCTGAAATCTACTCTAATTGGGCTTTTTCAGTCTACATCATTCAGATGACACCACAAAACAGAATGGCACAGTCTATAAATTAAACTTTTCCCTTTCCCTAGTTCATATGTTAATAATGTTCAGTAAACTTATAAGGCACCATTTTTTTTTTACTGTTCCTATTGAAAAGAATTCGGGCATATATTAATTCTAGGAGCATATCTGTTTTGATAAGATAAAATACAGAAAATGGAAATTTTGTTTGTCTTTTGGTCTAAAAAAAGAGTGAAATGCCAATAACTAGCTAGGGGCATCTTCAGGAGGCAAAAAAGTCAAGATGGTAGCTGGATCCAAGTGATTGAAGCATCACTACTGTTTTAATTTTTTTTTTTTAATGAATATGCCATTGATGGCACTGATGAGGTGATTCTGAGGTGTTATATGTATTGCCTCTGTTAACAGCAAAACTCTAGGTTGGTAGTCTGATGCATGAAAGTATTTATGAGAACTTATAAAAAAATGAGAAACTGGCTTGAAATAAGCTATTTGCATTTTTTTGAACAACAGAATATTTTGAACAACAGAATATAATAATATAAATAAATAATGTGGAATTGAGATGGAATTTTTTAAATTGTACACATACAAGACCTAACTTAACCCCAAATGTAAAAGAGTATTGACTACACTTTGAAAAAACGAATAATAAAGTCATTTTCCAACATGGATATCATATACGAAAACCAGTTAATTATTAATTATTCAACTTATATCAATTTGCTAAGGTGATATCTGTTATTTTCTAGACATGGGAAAATTTGTCAGTTTTAGTTTAGCACTTTGCTCTTATTATAAAATTAAAACTATCTCATTTGACATTCAGAAAGTAGAAATCAAAAATCCTCTTGATGGTATGCATTTCTCTATGATTTTTTTAAAATGAACTCCAGTGGAATATTGGAGAATCAGTGGGTTTTGTTGCATTTTATACAGTTTGGTATATATGAATTATCTTGATTCTCATTAACATGCAAACTGGACAAATTGTTCTATTAACTTTATTACTTCAACCATAAAAGTAATTTATTTGTTAGCTATTACTAGTGTTTATGTATCATTTTGAAATAGAACAGATTATTCTTTTGAATAAATACTGCATGAAATATGTGTGGTATTTCTTGATACACTGAAGGACATAACCATGACCAGATCTCATAACCTTCCATGAATACCTGACACTCATTGTATTCATTAGTCCTATGAACTAGACAGTGATGGGAACAGCATCTACTGAGGCTTCTCCACATACAGATAATGATTTGAACATCTACAGTGCTCCCAGGGAATTACTTGATGTAGAAATAAAAGGGATGTTTTTAGAAGTTTGATTCAGTCCAGAACAGTTTTTGTGTGGCTATTTTAGAGAGAGAGGGCTTGATGGTTCAGTGGTTAAAAATGCTGAGCTTGTCCACTAGACAGCCCAGATTTCAACATTGCACAATGGGTTAAGCTCCCATTCCTGCCTCAGTTCCTGCCCACCTAGCAGTTTGAAAGCATGTGTTGTGGCCCGCCAGCGGCCTGCGCGAATCGTGGCTGATCCCGACGAAGAGGAGGCTGGTGTGGTGTTGTGCCAGCAGCCTGATCAGCCAGCGCTCGCATCGGACAGCGAGGAGGCTGAAGAGGATGTGGTGCCAGAGGCAGAGACTCAGCCAGGGCCTTCAGAACCTCCAGAGGTTCCTTCAAGTGGAGAGAGCGAAGTGGAGGAGCCTCTCCTCAATTGTCGAGCACGCAGGGCTGCCAAAAGGCAGGAGTGGCTACTCAGGAGGAGGAGGTCTACTCGAAAATAGGGCTTGAGGATAATTGGCCACTCCCTTAGCCTATTTAAGTGGCACGCAGCTAGTGCTTTCTTGCTGGAAACAACTCGTATTTATTATCAGAGTATTTTGGTTTATCATATCTTGTTTTCTGGGCTGGTTGCCAACCTTTGCCGGTCTTGTTTATTCTTGCTACTTAATAAATTTGATAAGGATCGTTGGTGTGTGTCAATATCCTCGGAAATCCGGAGCTGGAGCAGAACATCATGCAAATGCAAGTAGATAACTAGGTACCACTTCAGTGGGAAGGTAAAAGCATCATGTGTATATATAGCTATGCTGGCCACAGGACCACAGAAAATATCTTCAGACAACGCTGGTTCCCTCAGCCAAAAAGCAGAGATGAGTACCGTGTTGTAGAGTCAGACAGGGATAGGGAAACCTTAACCTTTATTTTAGGAAGCAAAAAATACTTTAGTGTTGGACAGATTTGAGGAAAGTAAACTTCTGCTAGTTCCAACCTTTCCTCTCCAGTTTAATCAAAGGTACTTTTCAAAATCATTTTTCAGAAATTGAAACTGGTTGTTTTCTTTGACATCAGTAGAAATCTTATTGTACTGACTAGAAGGATTGCTCAAACTTTCAGATTCACTCTGAAAAGCTGCTTTGGATCATGCAGGAGTCCAAACAGAGGTGTCAGTCCTTAAGCTGACCTGACCAAAGCCATCTTGAAGTATCATTAAAATAGCTGCATCGGCTTCCAAGTACAGTTCTTGCAAGGGCCCAATCCTGGAAGCAGATACCTCTTCTTCTTTTTTTAATGAGTTGCTGACAGATGTTGCATTTGCATCCTTCCACACTTTTTGGAATCAAATCTGAAGCATTTCACAGTGCTAGTGAATAGCAATTGAACATACACAGAAAAGCACCAACTTTTGCAGGAATAAGTAGGGCATTGCTTCTACAGATCGTTTAATTAAATATGATCTTCCAAAGCAAGAACGGTCAGAGGAAGGAAGTTATTGAAATATAAAATTATAGTGCAATTCCATTTTTAAAAAAACTTGAATTACTACGAAAATTAAATTATACATGCATATTATTCAGACATCTATTTTAAGAAAGTTGTTTTAGGGGGGAAAATGTAGATGCATTATTTATTTCAAAGGCTAAGGATATTCTGCATGGTTGCTTTTACTGAGGGATGGAATCTGAAAATACCAATACAATCATATCTGTATTTAATTAGAAAATAGGCTTCATGAATTGAGAGTAACTTGCCATCGACTTTGCTTGTCAAAAGCCAGTTGAGAAGGTCACAAATGGTGATCACAGGACCCCAGAATGTTGGAACCATGCCAGTTGCCAAACACTCAAATTTTGATCAAGTGACCATGGGATGCTGCAATCGTCATAAATGTGAGAACCGATCCTAAGTCATTTTTTTCAGTGCTGTTGTAACTTTGAACGGTAACCAAACAAATGGTTGAAAGTTGAGGACTGCCTGTATATGCATTAATACAAGTGTGAACCTACTATTGTCTGCAACAGTGGTTCTCAACCTGTGGTCCATGGACACCTGGGGAGGCACACAAAGGCTTGAAGAAATGTTGTGATTTAAATCTTGAGTTGAGTCTTGGGGTGTCCATATAGCCATGGCCCCTGGCCACAAAACGTATTTAAAGGGAGTCTGTGGTGAAGAAAAGGTTGACAAGCACTGGTCTACAACATTTTGAAATTATGTTACTGAAATTTGACAAGCTGCAAAGGGTTCAAATTTTGTCAGAACTGATTTTTGTTTTGTTGTTTTAAAAGTTAACAGTATTTTTAAACAATGTCTACTCTTAAAGTAACTTCCATCCTACCCCCCACTTCGTCTTGTGACCCAAATGTGGCATTTCTTAGGCTAGTTTTGGTTGAGGAAGGCTTTTTGCCTGTTAAAATCTTGCACTGTTTTTCAACTTCATACTAATGTATTACTTGGAGTGGGGACAGCCGCTACAGTGTCACACGATCTCAGGATTGATTTATTTATCTAATTTATTTAGCCACCCAACTCACAGGCAAGTCAATTACATACGTAGTCCCTTTCTGAAAATTGATATTAAATATATGTGCATATATGAAATAAGCCTTCTTTCATCTACTAGTCTTCCAGCCAGAAAAGAGAAAAATCCATTTTTCCCCTACTTTTTTTCTTTTTATTACAGACTATGCAGACTTTTGTGAAGACATTCTGGATGCACATGTCATAGGATATTGATCGTCATTTTATAATTGATGTTCTAACTGGGCCATATTTCTAGAATTTGGAAGGGCTTTCAACATTTGATGACCTCAACGGCACCAACGTGTTATCACATGGAATTGTAGCAGGTAAGCTACATCGTGATAGTGTGATAGTTTGGTATTTATTGCCTTAATCTTCATTGTATTACACTTATTGGGGTGTTGAATTTCAGTGTAAAAGTTGCCATTTGGGAGTGCAGTGCAATGTCATTAAAGAATTAACAAGCTTCTAACTATCTTTGTGAGCATTATTTTACCTTCGGATTGCTATAGGTTCCCCAGTCTCTTATGTTGTCAGTGGGACAAGGTGGAAGAAAAGAAATATATTTGCATTGCTTAATCATATTGATTGATTGTCTCCAGTGGTGGGATTCAAATTGTTTTACTACCGGTTCTGTGGGTGTAGTTTGATGGGCGTGGTGTGGCTTGGTGGGCGTGGTGTGGTGGGTGTGGCACGGGAAGGATACTGTAAAATCTCCATTCCCTCCCCACTCCAGGGGAAGGTTACTGCAAAATCCCCATTTCCTCCCGATCAGCTGGGACTCGAGAGGCAGAGAATAGATGAGGGCGGGGCCAGTCAGAGGTGGTATTTACCGGGTCTCCAAACTCCTCAAAATTTCCTCTACCAGTTCTCCAGAACTGGTCAGAACCTGCTGAATACCATCTCGGATTGTCTCCCTGTTTTCTACTGGACATTTACAGTTCATTGAGCACTGTACAACAAAGTTGCTCAATTCTAGTCACGTGAAATTAGATGGCAGAAATTAGTATATGAATTGCCTTAAATCAAATTATATAATAGATTTATCTCACTGAACATTGTCTAGACTGGCTAGTGTTTGTCTATGGTTTTCCACCTTGAAGATAAATATTGAGAGACCTTTGTAGAAGAACCTGTTGGTTTGGTGATTGGTTTAGCCAATTGATCTAGTGCAGGGGTGTCAAACTCGCGACAACACGTTGTCATCACGTGACATGTCACAACTTTTTCCCCATTTGCTAAACTGGGGGTAGGCATGGCTAGCGCATGACACATCTGGTCCGTGGGCCGTGAGTTTGATACTCCTGGTCTAGTGGTTAAAGCATCAGCCTAGAAAGCAGCAGACTGGGAGTTCAAGTCCTGCCTTAGCTATGAAAGCTGGCTGGATGACTTTGGACCAGTCATTCTCACTCAGTCCTACTGACCTCACAGGTTCATCACCTTGAGTTATATGTAAAAAGAATAAAGGTGAGGTAGAAATAAATAAATAAAATTAAAACACAGTTGCTAAATAGGCATCTTCTATGTTCTGAATTTATCCTTTAGTTTCTTCTCCTTTATAGAAATAGAAATAGAGTTTTCTTAGTACTCATAAACTAATATTTATAAGCATTCTGGTACTTTAAACCAGATAATTTAATATTCTTATGAAAGAATGGAAACAGTGGCTGAAGTTATTGCCTATTTTGTAAGTAAAAGTCACGTTTCCTTTTGCATTCACATCTCTGCACTGGCAAAAAGGTTTTCACTTAGAGTTGTTTTATTCATGTAAATAGTCAGATGTGCATGCTATGTAGAACAATATTCAACTGGTTCATCCAACAACTCTGGCAAGAAAGGTCGTAAAATGGGGCAAAACTCACTTAACTGTTTTGCTTAGCAATGGATATTTTGGGTTCAATTGTGGTCGTAAGTCGTGGACTACCAGTATGGTAGATTAATTTGGCTATGATTACTAGATAGAAATACTAAGGATTTTTTTTCCCTTGAAGAGTTAGATATAATGGTTAATGGACAGAAGGCTAACAAACTGAAGAAGGAAAGACTAGCTTTGTAAATGTATGAAGAACAAAATCAGATTGGCTTTTCAATAAAAACTGATGCATTTCTAACACAGACTTGTGCGTTGCTTTTCGCTCATTTGTGGCCCACAAATTGTAGGGCAAACTTATAAAGCAAATTATTATTTGTCTCTCCACTTGGTATTAATAATTTCGTCCCTAAAACTGCACTCAAACAGTTAAAGGATTTTCCCTGAATCAAAAGTGCATTGTTAAACCTGAAAATCAGGCTATTGGACCAGGAGGCTACGTTTATGTCCTCAATCAGGCACAGAGCTCCCTGCATTCCGTTCTCTTTGTTAAACTATCTCACAAGGTTGTTGCAGAATGGAGGGCAATGGAGAAAGGAGTGCTGTATACTCCATTTTTAACTTTCAGAATAAAGGCAAAAAAAATAAAATCTTGACAGAAGGGAAATTAAATAATCAGAAGGAAACTTACTGAATGCGCCTTTCAGTCCACCAACCTCATTTTTCTACATTCCCCTTCATCATCTGGTTTGAAGTGGATTCTTTTGCTGACACAAGGAGAAACCTGCCAGACCATGGGATAAGATAACAAAAATATTACAGGACAGAATAAGACACGGACTTCAACAATATATAGATCAGGGATTGCGAACCTGTGGCACACGTGCCAGAAGTGGCACGCAGAGCCATCTCTCTGGACACGTCAGCCATCATCTGTTCTGGGTTCCGGCATGCACATACAGCCAGCTGATCTTCGTGCATGCGGGAGCACCAGAAACCGGAAGACCAGGTGACTGGCGCACATGCGCATGCAGGGAAGCTGAGTTTCTGGTTTCCAGCCAGTGGTGGGTTGTCCCCGGTTCGCACCAGTTCTATAGAACCGTAGTAAAACCGGCGGGAGGCCCTGCCCACCGACCCCGTCATTAAAACGCTTCTGCGCATGCACAGAAGAGCGTGTGCACGCACGAGGGAAGCGAGCATGCACGGACCTGCTGCGAACTGGTAGTAAGAGTAAGTAGAACCCACCCCTGTTTCCAGCATGTGCACACGCACCAGCCACCTGGTCTTTGCATGCGAATGCATGCCAGAAACCGGAAGACCAAGTGACCAGTGCTCATGCACACGCAGGAGACTGGAAGCACAGTTTTCTGGCACATACATATATGTCAGGGAACTGCTCTTCTGGTTTCCGGCGCTCCCACATGTGCATGCCGGGGAGCTGCTCTTCCGATTTCTGGTGCTCCCACGCACGCATACTCCTGTTTCAGCACTCAGTGTCGAAAAGGTTCACCAACATGATATAGATGCACATCTGCATCTAAGTTGTATGTCTGCCTATGCGTGTCCATGAAAGTTTCTCTAGTTTATTTGTCCATTCGTGTTTGGAAGTAAAAAAAAAAAAAAAGTAAATAGGCAGGAAGAGACATGACTACTTTATTCTCAGAATGATGGTATGCTCTGGATTGTTGTAGAGGTTTTGTTGTTGTTGTTGTTGTTGTTGTTGTTGTTGTTGTTAATGTCTGTGAGCAGAGCTATAGAAAACCCTTATGATTACAAGGCTTGGGCTATTCATCTGTATGCACGCTAGTGTTGAATGGGGTGAAGGCCCTGACATTTTAAAAGCAGAAATACAATGTTTGGGCCAGAAAGAAACTGCTGAGCTGGCATACAAATAGATCTGTGTTTGTTTGTTCATTTTGCAATATTTATAGTCTGCCCCAGTCCAAATGGACTCTGGGCAACAAGGTCACAAACCACAAATAAACAATGCCATTCATTGAAATCAACAGTAAACAACAGAAGCACTTTAAAGTAAACTAATCTAAGGGTCAAACAACCACTGGAAAACTATGTTGCCTAGGTTAGTTTATTTTACTAAAGTAAAACAACAATAAATACTCAAAGAACTACAGATCAAATAAAACATATTAAAAAGGAGAATAGCTACAGTATATTTGCGTCAAATTTTCTTTATAGCATGGACTGTGACCTAACCAAATGTTCTATTCAGAGTTGGGATTCAGCCGGTTCTGTCCAGTTCACGTGAACCATAGCGGCAACTGTGATAGGCCACACCCACCTGCCTGGACATAATGCTGTCCTATTTAGCCACGTTTTCAAGGATGGGCGCATGCACGGAAGGTGTTGTGACCCAGGCCCAAGTAAGTAGTAGGAAAATCAGTCAGTGAAAAAACAAACACACTTTATTCGAACAGCTGAGAATTACTTCATTCCCAGCGCCGTTCAACTAAATTAAAGCAAATTTCTCCCAACACAAATTCCTCAGTCCTATCGCAAATCTTGGTCCAATTAGGCAAACTGCCAAAGGCCTTTCTTGGCAAACGTTCAGAAATCACAGATACAAAAATAAATACAAGGCGTAGACGAAGAAGAAGACAAAGCTACCAACCTTGTTTTCTGGCAAAGCCCAAACACCGCTGCTGGTCTGTTTTAAGCCTTATGGGAGGGGCCAATCATCTCTTGGCCCTACTCCCGAGTTGTCCTCTTTGCTTGAGCTGCTCTTGCCTTCTGGCAGCTCTTCTCATATCGTGCATTAGGAACAGGCTCCTCCTGTTCCTCTGCCTCACTCCTATCAGTCTCTGGAGGCTCTGGAGTCCGCACCTCACTCCCCGATGGCCCTGGCCCCATCTCTGCCTCTGACACAGAGCCCTCATCCAGGCCTTCCCCAGCCTCCAGGACTGGCCCATGTTCTTCCTCAGCCTCATCACTGCCTAACTCCGCTGCCAGCTCCGCAGGCTGCTGGCAGACCACAACAGAAGGCATGCATGCAAGCAAAAAGCATGCATGGAAGGCCAAGCATGTGCACATGCTCAAATTTGCGAACCAGTAGGGAAGGTTAGTGAATCCCACCTCTGGTTCTATTCTGCTTGACATCTGAAAAGGCAGTAATTTGGTGCTGTTCTGCAGGAAGAGTGGAAACACTATACATAGAAGATGTTGTTGCTGTTGTTGGTGTTGATGATGATGATGGTACCAACCTAAAATGATAAAATCAGGAAGCTGTATATATCCTTCTGATTTTATGAAACTTCTGTTACCTGTAAGTAGCACAACTTAGTATAATGTGTGTCTTAGATCTATCTTTAGAGAAATATCTTTCTGTAAATAGCTCAAGCTTCAGCCTTGCCAAGATAGTTTAGCTAATTTCTCAAGCAATTTAGATAAATTAGCCGGCATTGTGTTCCCCTCCTTTTCTTGTTCCAGATTTGTATTGCACCCTACATTTAAATACCTAAATAATGCAGAGGATGTTGTTGTTGTGTGGGGCAGAGTGGA